TCATGGTGGGATTCAGAAATTGTCATTTACCATCTATAAGTCTTGTACTATTAGTTATAGGAACTCAAATACCTTTATAACAGTTCCACTAAACAATTATTAAAATAACATGTAAGTAACAAGGCACAGCGGCATAGTGGTTAGCACGTTTCCCTCATAACTCCAGGGTTAAGGGTTCGATTCCTGCCGTGGCCCCGTGTGTACAGAGTTTGCATCTACTCCCTGTGCTTCGGGGGTTTCTTCCGGGTACTCCAGTTTCCTCCCCCAGTCCAAAGCCATGCATAATAGGCTCATTGTCATCCAAAAAGCATCCATAGTGTATGAATGGTTGTGTGATTGTGCCCTGCGATGAACTGGCACCAAGTCCAGTTTGTGCCCCATGCACCAGTTCCCTGCGACCCAGTAATGATAAGCGGTACAGAAAATGGATTGATGGATGCTAGCAAATAACACCCTGTAGTAAACTTCTAGTATTTTCAGAAATGGGAAAAAGTATGACTGCTAGTTAAGAGTTAATTATGTTTCTTATCATAGCTGGTGATAGCCAGTAAAATGTTATTGATGTGATTAAGCAAACAAAGGCACAAATTTATTTGATGCTTGGAATGGTTGAACATGGAGGAAATTGTAATGATGACTTTGTTGACCGTTTATGAACATCACTATATAGCAGCACAATAACTGGACAGAACAATGATATTTAAGAGACAGACAGTCACTCCTGTCAGCATTAAATATGAAAAAGTTATTGCATGGTCTATTTCCAACTGTCCAGTTTTAGTAAACTTGTGCCCACGGTAGCCTCAGATTCCTCTTCTTGGCTGAAGGTAATCATCTACTACTAACATTCTAATATATAGTAATTTTTCATTTTGTTTTTTTGTCATTGATATTTAGCTTAATTTTTCATTTCCCAAGCTAATCAAATCCCTCCTAACAACCCCCCTCCATCCTTGATGATTCTGTGTCCACTGAATTCAACCAATTGAAAGTTTATACTATTTTTATATTTTTAACTGCAACCCTATGTCCATATTCTTTACACACACCATATCAATACCATCATCAAGGATAATGTGGGACTGGATGTTATAAAGAGGTCAGCGCTCTACAGGCCACAGATATCAGTGCCACAATCAGACTGTAATCATGCCTGGCAGCTGCTCAGGGTCCGATTAGCAGTCTAACATGGCCCTCTGAGGGTGATTCACTAAACGACTAAATGTCTGGCACAAATGATTCAGTAGCTTCGTTTTGTGTTTGCGTGCGTAATGCAGAGAGATCGCATAGATATGGTGAGCGTCAACAATGCAGGAAGGTCATTACTATCAACAGCAATCACCTTAAACACACACACACACACACACACACACACACACATTTAGACAATAAGCTGCCTTGAATGTGATTTTCTATGACAGTAGGAACAAACTGTGGCATATCTGTGATGCTGCATATTTGAGTAAGGGGGGAAAAAAAAGGAAAAAAGGAGATGAGCAAGACTAATCTCTTTAACATTGACATGACTATGATGGAGTATTAACTGGATGCTAACGCAGGTGGATTTAACACACAATAAATTCATAATGCTACTTGCCAATGAGTCGCTGTCAGTGTGTTTTGCCTTGATTGGCTTATAATGAAAACTGCTTACCTCACTGCCCTCGCAATAACCATCTGACACCAGCATTGTTCAGACTACACACTCCTACACACCTCCTATCTGTCTCTCTTTCTGTCCTCTCTTTCTCCAAATCTCAAGCTTTCTCATGTATGTTTGGATTATGAATGTGTAAAGAGCATCCTGAGACCTAGAATAAAACTGATCAGTATCAAAGCATGTGTGCATATTTCTCTGTACCCCCGTGTGTGTGTGTGTGTGTGTGTGTGTGTGTGTGCTCTGTTTGTGTGCGTTTACTGTTGTGGGTCTCTCAGTTCAGCTCAGCTCAGCTCATCCCTGGATAACTAGGAGAAAATTGGCCCGAGGAAGATTATGCTCTATCTGCTGCTACAAGGCGTCCACTGCAGGCCAATGCACAGAGGCAATTTAGCTCTCGGAAGCATCGGGAACTTGCAGAGCATATAAGATTTCATAGTGTTTCATCCCATCAAATATTCAGCAACCCCAAATTGTTGATTGGCCTCAAAGCCATATGCTAATGGTGGCACTATTTCAGATGTGAAATTCCTGGCTCAGATGTTTTGCTTTTCTAATTATCAAGCAGCAATGAAAATCAAAACCAAATGGAAACAAATCCAGTCTCATAAACTTTAATATCACTTTACTTAAGGAGTTCATATGGCTACATGACACCTACATAAGCTCTTCATGATAACCAAGGTAATCCTACATCAACTCTTATATTATAGATTATACTAACTGCTTTCTGTCAATTTTGATTGACATAAGGTTGTGGGGGCATGGGGGCGTAGTGGTCAACACGTTTGAATCACACCTCTGGGGTTAAGGATGTTGGAGACACTCTGTGTGCTGGAGGGGTTTTCTCCAGATATTCCGGTTTGCTCCACCAGTCCAAAGACATATCATAGGCTGATTCACATGTCTAAATTGTCCGTAGTGTCTGAATGTGTGTGTGATTGTGCTCTGCGATGGGTTGGCACCATGTAAGGTTGTCCCCTGCCTTGTGCATCAAGTTCCTTGGGATAGGCTCCAGGCTTCTCACGACGCTGTGTAGGATAAGCAGTAAAGAAAATGGATGGATGGATATGTCACCTGAACCAAACATTAGCACAACCAGAGGCGTAGCTACAGGGCAGGTAAGGAAGCCCCCTTAAAGCTGAGACTTCCATAAAAATTGCAGAACTCACTTTAAGCCTCCAATGGGTGATCTACGATGCTATAAAATGTACCCTCCTAAAGGGGGGGCCCATCTCACTGTCAAGTTTGACTTGCATACATTTATTTTGAATGTCAAAATTAAGAGAACTTACCTGTCTGGAAAGAAGAAAAGACAAAGAAAACAGATAGAAGAAGAGAAAAAGAGGAAGCAGAACTGTGGTAATTCTGAACATAATCTAATAATAAAATAATTAAGCATAACAATTGTAGGTAAAGGGATGAAAGCAAGCAGCTAGCTAAGAGTTGGCATTCCATTTGGAGCATGTAAATGTTAATTATCTAGCTAGTTTTTATTCTTTTTTTGACCCAAACTAGACCCAAAATTTATGTTGTAAGATTTCATCCTACAACTCAAAGCATATTTTTGGTCCCATGGGATGAAAGTATGACATGCATGATTCAGAATATAGTTCACTCAATCTAGATTCCTCAAATTAAAGCTGACCTTGTTTATCAGACATTGTTTCAAATGAAATATACTGTAGTGCAAAGCTGTACAATTTGTTGCTGTATAATTACTTTATAATTATAATCATTATAATGAACTCTGCATGTGTCTGTGTGACTGTTTTATATTTGAGAATGTGTTGTGTGTGTGTGTGTGTGTGTGTGTGTGTGAGAGAGAGAGAGAGGGAGAGAGAGAGAGAGAGAGAGCGCACAGCTGTGCACAGTGCAAAGTCAGTTGAAGGCAGAGGCTGCAGCTAGAGGATTAGCAAAGCAATTACAGTGGCTTAAAGTCTGTTTACTGCATCTGTACCTGCAGCTCCACGGTGTGTGTGTGTATGTGTGTGAGAGCGTTTTGTGGGCTTAGCAAGGGTGTGCACTTGGAGGAACTCTCTCGCTGAGAACTATAGAACTACGTATAGATGGTATCCAGACAGTGGCTCGGACTGGGCTGATTCATGTCACACTGGTATAAATTCAGTTCAGTAGTGTGTGTGTGTGTGTGTGTGTGTGTGTGTGTGTGTGTGTGTGAGCGTGTGTGTTTTAGAGAGAGAAAGAAATGATGCATTGCAGTAGAAAATAACTCATTTATGGCAATATTTTTTCAAAGACGTTCACATTTTCTTCTCCTATTACATCTCTAACCAGGTAACAGAGCCTGAGTGCTGACATGACTGAAGTCCACTCAATCTCACATCCACCAGATTAGAACCCCACCATGAGAAATAACTTGATGGCTAAATCCACCACTTTTTAAATAGAGTTATAATTTAAATGAACTGTTACTTTGCCCAGAGGCCTTTTCCAGTGTATCCAAATGCTGGAACTCATATACATTCACTGGCCACTTTATTAGAAACACCTGTACACCTGATCATTCATGCAATAATCCAATCTGCCAATCATGTGGCAGCAGCACAATGCATAAAATCATGCTGCCATCGGTAGTTAATAGCTTTAGTTAATGTTCACATCAAACAATAGGATGGTAAAAAATTAAATCCCAGTGACTTTGACTGTGGCATAGGGGTGGGTGCCAGGTTTAGTTTGAACATTTCTAAAACTATGGCTCTCCTGGGATTTTTACACACAGCACTCTCTAGAGTAATTTTTATTTTTTTTCTGTGAGTGGAAACAACTTGTTGATGAGAGAGGTCAGAGACCAATAGCCAGACTTGTTCAACCTGACAGGATTTGAATAAGTCACAGTAACTTAAATAACCACTCCATACAACCATGGTGAGCAGAAAAGCATCTCAATGTACCCTCCTGTCTTTGGCTGACTTCTGCTGTTTTAGTGCATCCACCCCAAGCTTTGCTGTGTTGTACATTCTGAGATGCTTTTCTGTTCACCACTGTTGTAAAGAGTGCTATATTTGAGCGAATGCCTCGGCTAATGAAACGGTTGAAGTAATCTCTTTTTCCCCAAACCTTAGGTGATATACAGTATAAAAATCCATCCATCCATCCATATTCTGTACTACTTATCCTACACAGGGTTGTGAGAAGCCTGGAGCCTATTCTAGGGTCTCAGGGCTCAATCGCACAAACATTCACATGACTATTCATACACTACAGGCAATTTTTAGAGATGCCAATCAGCATACCACGCATGTCTTTGGACTGGGGGAGGAAACCAGAGTGCCTGGAAGAAACCCCCAAAGCATGGGGAGAACAATGCAAACTCCACGCACACCGGGAAGAGATGGGAATCGAACCCCAACCCTGGAGGTGCAAGGCAAACATGCTCACCACTAAACCACCATGCCATCCATCCATCCATCCATCCATTTCTACCGCTTACTCCTTTTCAGGGTCATGGGTAAACCACCATACCCCACAATAAAAACATTTACATCATAAACACAGTAAGTGGTTTGGCTGTTGTTTGGCAGTGAATTTTGTACATCACATTATTTCAGCATCAGTCCTGGAGGTCCTAATGTGTATTTTATCCATCCATCCATCCATCTTCTACCGCTTACTCCTTCTTCAGGGTCACGGGGAACCTGGCGCCAATCCCAGGGAGCATCGGGCACAAGCGGGGGTACACCCTGGACATTGTGTCAGTCCATCGCAGGGCACAATCACATACACACAATGTGTATTTTACATTATATGTAAATTATTATAATTTTTGCACACTCATGATCAAATCCTTCACAAGCTGGGTCAGGTGTGAAGTGTCAAAGGTGTTAAACCTATTATTGGTAATCAAAAAGATCTCAGATTTAATATTTGTTTGATTGAAATTGATAGTTGCCCTGCGATGGACTGGCACCCTGTCCAGGGTGTACCCTGCCTTGTGCCCGATGCTTCCTGGGATAGGCTCCAGGTTCCACGTGACCCTGAAAAGGAGTAAGCGGTAGAAGATGGATGGATGCATGGATGGATGGAAATTGATAGTTCATATAAGAATGTTAAAACAATAAATAATTTTTTTTTAAAAACCTTTTACTGAAGTTTTTTATTATGAGATATTGAGATATCAGATTTCCTTCTGGCAATACAACAGGAAAGTACAGGAAAGAATTTCTGTTATTGCAGGGTTGAATGGAATTTCCATTAAAGAGAAAGATGTTCATAGTGGAAGTAGATTTTGTAATTCAGTAGCAAATTGAACAAATCAATACAAAAGATATCTTAAAAAAAAAAAAAAAGCCCTGATTCGTGTGTGCGTGTGTGTGCTGGTGCATCAGGCTGATGGTTGGATAGTGCTAAGCCGAGTAGTCAGTATTCCAGCATGGAAACGACCCCAAACACACCTCCAAGGCGACCACTGCCTTGCTAAAGAAGCTGAGGGTGAAGGTGATGGACTAATCCCTATTGAGTATCTGTCGGGCATCCTCAAACGGAAGGTGAAGAAGCACAATGTCTCTAACATCCCCCAGCTCAGTGATGTCATCATGGAGGAGTGATAGCGGACTCTAGTGGCAACCTGTGAAGCTCTGGTGCCCAAGAACTCCATGCCCAAGAGGGCTAAGTCAGTGCTGGAAAATAATGGTGGCCACACAAAATATTGACACTTTAGGACCAATTTGGACATTTTCACTTAGGGGTGTACTCACTTTTGTTGCCAGCGGTTTAGACCTTAATGGCTGTGTGTTGAGTTATTTTGAGGGGACAGCAAATTTACACTGTTATACAAGATGCACACTCAGTACTTAACATTGTAGCAAAGTGTCATTTATCCAGTGTTGTCACATGAAAAGATATAATCAAATATTTACAAAAATGTGAGGGTGTACTCAGATACTGAGTGTTTGTGTGTGTGTGTGTGTATATATATATATATATATATATATATATATATACATATATATATATATATATATATATATATATATATATATAATCTCTGAATCCCCAAAACAGTAGAAATTTGAAAGGAAATAATTTGGGCCGTGATGAATGCTTCAGGCTATTTACGCCGGACTCAGCGACTTGGTCTCCCATGGAGAGAAATGGAGGGAGACCAGAGAGAAGCATATGGCCCTCCAGGGACAAAAAGTGAGTGAGAAAGAGAGAGAGAGAGAGAGAGAGAGAGAGAGAGATGGCTTTAAAGAATGAGAGAGCATCAATCAGTGTGGAGGGAGTGAGAAGAGGGAAAGAAATGGAAGTATAAAGGGGTGTCTGTGTGTGTGTGCTGGTGCATCAGGCCGATGGTTGGATAGTGCTAAGCCGAGTAGTCAGGCTCCAGAACCCTGCTGATACACTTTCTGCTCCCCTATCCATCACTGCCTTAATCAGGCTCGTTTCAGAAGTTCTCTCTCACACTCACTCTCACTCTCTCTCATACACACACACACACACACACACAGAGAGAGAGAGAGAGAGAGAGAGCCAACCTTATCACAGCAGGCCCTACAAAGAAAGGGAGAAAGGGTATATACTGGGCTCTACGTATTTGTGAAAAAGGACAGTGTGTAAGGAACAATGAAAGATGGAGGAAGCTAGATTGCCAGTTCCATTGTTTTCCCATATAACAACAACAACAACAACAACAATAATAATAATAATAATAATAATAATAATAGTAGTAGTTTTATTATTATTATTATTATTATTATTATTATTATTATTATTTATTATTATTATTAATGATAATAATAAATATTAAAAATTAAAAATTAAATACAAATTATATGGCACCTTTCTCAAATCCAAGGTCACTTTACATCAGGATAAAAAAAAAATCTTAAGTAACACAAAAAGAATCAGAAAAGTCACAGGACAGTTAACAGAATGAGGTGAAGGATGAAGTGACGGAAGGTATTATGTGAAATGGGCTGAAGCTACTAATTTACAATCAGAGAGTTATAACACTGAGTGAAGTGATGCGTTTTGAGTTGTGTGTTGAAGCAGAAAATGGAGGAGATTTCTCAAAGCTCTGTGGAAGTGAATTCCATAACTTGGAGGCAACAACACTGATGGACCGACTGCCCATAATTGTTTTACAGTCACTGGATTAAATCGGTGTTTTTTCAGCTATATCTTCTTTAACGGCTTCATCCTGGTCAGGCTTGCTGTGGCTGTGCATCTGGAGCCAATCCAAGGAACACTTGGGCATGAGGAGGGAATACACCCAAGCAGGGAAGTCAGTCTATCATAGAGCACAGTGCATACACATATTCACAGCTAATGGTAATTTGGTGTAGCCAGTACACCTACCAGCATGTTTTTGTACAGTGGGAGGCAACCGGAAGAAACCCATGAAAACATGAGATGAACATGTTCCCGAGGTAACAATCAAACCAGGGAGACTGGGTTATTACAATATACTGTACTTGTGATTGTGAGCTTACATACAGGGTTTAGGTAGGTCATCTTTTGAGTTTTAATTGTTTTTCTCACTCAGACCTGGCAATCCTTGTGCGAAGAATAAGTGGGAAGAGACTTCAAGAGAGTCAACAGAGAGAATGAAAATTCCAGCAAGCAATTAGGTCTCATAAATAAATAAAACCTAATGAATCAATGAAAGACAAAACACAATGACACACTGCAGTTTCCTCAGAGGGTGAATAAAATCAAGCAACATGCTCGATAACTCAGCACCACCTGAAAAACTAATGAGAACACAATCTATATGTATTTATGGGAACCGAAGGCTAAAGCCCATACTGTGACTTTTTCTTTATTGTACATCAATACAGCATTCATTTCAATCCTATTAGCACTGACGGCAAATTAGCATTCAGCTTTGTGTTCAAAGCATTCATATCAATACAGCATTCATGCGTTTTCAATTTCAATATAGTATTTCTCACTATTACAAACTGCTCAAATCAGAGAGTCTTGGAGTCTTATAGGAAAATTAAATATTGTGCCCTCGATTATGTACTGAGAACACAATAACAAGTTTAGCTTGGCTTGTTAGTGGATTCTTGCAGCGAATAATTGTACAGCATGTAACACACCAACCTACTTAGATCCACCTGACTTGCATATCAAAGCTGTCCCTCTGGGCACAAGCAAGAGTCAAAAAGAATTTCTGTTGTGTATGTGTTATCATTTTCATCATGTGCCTACACCAATCTTGGCAGCCCCACAGCATTGCAGTAACATCTTCAATCTTTCATTCATAACCGAGAGAGAGAGAGAGAGAGAGAGAGAGAGAGAGAGAATGAAAACTGTCCAGTTTTTCATGAAAGAAGATTCCAAAAAAAGAGAAAGTTTTTTCTTGGCCTACATAACATGTTCTATTTCCTTCCCTCCAGAGTGGCTACAAAGCACATGTGGGAGGAGCTAATGTAACAGCAGGGTGTATCAATCACTCCTCACCAACTAATCACTTTCCATCAAACAAGAGAAACAGGTGTTTATATGTGTTTAGATATCTGTAAATTAATTTGCTATCACACCTACACATCCATGTCTCTCAGGATTGGAGTCTCCAGAAAGACATAGGTTTGTACTAATACAAATCTCCAACTACTCCTCCCTCGTTGATCTTCCAGATGCTTTGGCAAGTATCTGACCCACTTCTGCAAAGAGTTGTTCCAGAGGCGAGTGCTACTCGATCACACTAATGACACAAGGCTCTAAGTGACCTACATGTGGGCTGTGGGCTGTGGCACACCGCCAGTGGTGCCTTTCAATAAAGCAAAGTGATGTTTTAAACCAACATTTTAATCAAGTCCACAGGGATATGTCTTCCAGTTCACATCTTACTTTATGTTTTTATGTTTGGTACAGTGAAACCCTCAGGACAAAGTCTCAACATTCCTCTACTACCAAAGTTCTCGATTTAGACCTCTGGGACTCACTAGCAGTCCACATGTTTGTCCTTATATCCTTATGATTTGTCTAGTGTCACCATAAGAACTAGCAGACCTCAGGGATATTCCATTTATTCCAAATTTATGTCATGTCTTCATATTGTGTACAGCGTAACCTCCAATGTCAATCATCACCTAGCTAGTACTCACTAGAACTCTGTCCCCAAATTTCATCATTCCTCTGTTAGCTAAGTTCTCAATTTAGACCTCTGGGACTCACACGCAGTCCAAATGTTTGTCTTTAGGTTTTGTATAGTGTAAACCCCAGGGATTTGCTATTTATTCTATATTTTCTTCTTATGTTTTTTATGTTGTGTACAGTGTAACCCTCAATAAAAACCATCAGTTAGCTTCTACTAGTAGTACAAGTTCTTACTAGAACTATATCATTAATCTTTAACTTATTTATTCATGTTCATGTGATTCATATTCATGTGATTCATTTACATGTGATTCATTTTCATGTGATTCATTTACGTATGAACTATATA